CGTCCTGACTTCGACTAAGGTCGCCTTTGACCGCCTCTACTAAGCGATCCATGTATTTAGGGTGCATGACTGGAAAACCTTCGGTCTGTTTTCAATTATATGCTACCGGATGGAGGAAAACAGAGAATAGCTTTATCTCGAGAACAGAAAAGATTCCAATATCAATTCTATGTACGGTTCTTTGTGCAATGTTCTTTTTCTTTGAATCGCAGTATTATAGACTTTCTTTTTTTTTACCATGAAAGAGATTTCTCTCTGTATACAAGATGAAAAAGTAAGGTGGAATCTATAATAATTAGAAGTATGTGCAAAAATTGTCAAACAGATATACATGTATAAATTTGAGTTTTAATGTGTAATTATTGTATGCATTTATGGTAATTTACGCGATAAATGAAACTTGAGTAATCTGCGCAGTGTTTTGCTTATCTTTATAAATGTACTTTATGATGAAAAATAAATGTATTGAAATAACAAGCTTTTTTTCCGATTAAAATAATTCCAAGAGTAAACTGAAATTGTTAACAGTAATAGCATAGTATAAATGGGAGATATATACGATATTGCTGTAAATTATTTTGGATGATTTTTAGGAATGTAGAAAATTTGGATGAACAATGTAATTTTGGAATATCAATGTACGGTTACAAAAATTCTCGCTCGGTAAAAGCGGAAACTAAATATCATTGAATATGTATGTACTTACACATACATATATTGTGACTTAAAAAGTATTGCTTTGGGTTGCACGACGAAGGTCGCTATCTGCAACATGCTTCGACATTGAAAATTTCTTTGGTGCATTAAACCGGTATTTGGTTTCGTTTCCTTTTAAATTTATATTACTTTTGTTGTCAGACAAGTACACGAAGGTTTAGGGAAGGCAATCACTTTGACTTGTTCGATTACCAAAATAACAATTGAAATTTCTTAGTAGTTCTAAATTTATCTTGTTTAAATTTAAATATACGCATTTAAATATCTACCGAACATTTCAATTTGGACATGACAAACGAAGTACTATATCCAAATAATTTTACAAATATGTAATTAAACTATAATCAAATACTTTTTGCAATTTTCTTCTTTTTTGTGTAATAATTCAATAATAATTTTAAATATTTCATTGTAAATTGTATACAAAACTTGTATTGAAAAGCATCATAAAAATAATGCATTCTATGATTTAAATGTCTATGGAATTCTGGGACTATGACACCGGAAGTTCAAGATTGCAAAGAAACAGTTATACCAATTTTATAGTTTTTGAAGCTACAGCGCATGCCAAGTTGAATATGTCATAAGTATATCTACGAATGTTATTATCGTAAAATAAAGCAAAAAATAATCCAAAATTTGTAATGTCTTTAAATATGTTTACCAAAATAGCTATTACCTTGTAATAATTTATACTGCGTATTTTCCCCTAAATAAAATTAAAATTACTGATGAAAATATAATTAAATAAATAAAAGTGAGGACAGTAACATTTTTAACAGTTTTGAACAATGCATAGTGTAAAGCGACGTTAAACGAGGCCTTAAAAAATAATTATATACAAGTGGAGCCACGTGCTAACAATAAACAAAGAGATAGCAACGAAACTCAGATCGAGCAGTTGCTATCCTTCTTTGAATACTTCAGACACTCCATTATTCTGTTTCCTCATGACACGTCATTGATGCGCCGTGACGGCTGCACTCCACGAGTTAGAACAAGGTTGCCAACTTTTGAAGGCCGATAACGCATAAGATCAGCGATTGTAGGAAAAAGAAAGTGAAGTACCTCTAATTTAAATGAAATTTTTCACTAAACACTTAAAGCAATTTCTATAGAGAATATTTTCTCGTTAATAATATTCTAAAATGTTTCTAGAAAGAAAGAAATAGCAAATAGATCTATGGTAATACTACCAACATTATAAACAATAATCGCTAGAGAAATAGCATTACACAAAAAGAGACCAAAATTCCTTGCCTCTAAAATTTTTCATGACAATGCACATTATTTAACATCTCATTGTTTAATGAATTTCATGTAATTTAAAAATTTCTCGACATTCCAACTATAATCTAATTACCGGGGAGTTGTAATTTTGTTTTATACATTCACGATCGTTTTTATGATTCGCATAATTAGCACATGCACAGAAACACAGATGCCGAATTTACCAAAAATTTCTAGCAAGTGACATAGTTACGTGGCGAAGTGCAAATTAGCCGCACAAAGTGGACAGCTGAAAGAAAATCAGTACGTCTATTCATAGTACGATAAGCGTTTAAGTTTGGTGTAACAAAGAGGCCACATACGGTCGTCACACGTCCGACATAGGAACAGTCATATGGCCGAGCATTTAAAGGCGCACAGCAAACGCGCTCGCCACGGGTGCGCATGTTGTAACACGCTCTGCCCCAAGTATTAAATGTTTCGAGGTTGTAATCGTTAGAATTCTGGATCGTTAGTATGGCATTATAGAAACTGAGGTGGCAAATTTTTCACATTGAAACGAAAATTAATTTTGAACGAATTACATATACTCTTATTTAAAAATTGATTCTAACCGAATTATGCTTATAAATCTTCGAATTTTATATCCTAATTTAGTTTTCGTTTTAACAAAAAAGATACTTTGATCATAGAAAAGATTCTAACTTAAATTTGAAGAAAGAAATCACGTATATTAACAATGTATTGATATATTAAAACAAAAATCTTTAATGAGAAAAACACAATGAACCAAAAATGAAATTGAAGATTACTTGCTCAAGTATTATGATGAAATGCTTTTTTTTAAGTAAGCAGAAATTCGAAATTTATGAAAACGATTATAAAAATTCGTTCTCTGTTAGAAAGATAACGCAATATATTATTAGTACGGCATCATTTTGTAGTTTCTTTGTTCAACCATAGCATACAACAATGAACAACAATGAATAGAAAGATAAATGAATTATAAATGTAAAATCTACCAAAGGAACGACATTATAATTTTAAATATATAAAATGAAGAACATGAAAAGTATCTATCTTAATCGAAAATTTTAGACCATATATGTACAAAAATTCCAGCGGAACGTCAGAAACATGACAGTGTACGGCTGGTTGGTTTCGTGACGCCTATGCGTATACGTGCACATTGATCGATGAATACGTATGTGTGCTCCATGCATACATATGTTTACAAGAGTCTGTCTCCATATCCGTCACAAAACGAATGTATCAAAGTGTATCGAACAGCAAAAAATTTGTCGAAACGAACACTTTTTTCTCAAACTTATTCTAGAATGTATCACTAGAAAAATTCTTAAGTTTATTTGTCTAAAAGAAATTCTTAAGAGACGACTAACCCTATTAATTTTTACATTCCAACTTCACTTTTTTTCAACGAGTAAAAAAGCTTTTAATGTTTTAATCCCTTTACCGGAATTATTACTTCCGCCAATAAAATTTAAGAGCTACGTGAAAATATATCTTCGTTTTTGAAGTATGATATAGATAAAATATGGCCAATATGGGCGTAGGAACCAGAGCACTACCCCCATTTGTAAGGGGTTGTAGAATAGCAAAATAAAATTGAGTTCACTAAAATAAATTCTTGCATTTACATAAAATTATGCGTATCAAGAATGGCTTTTCGATAGTATAAGTGAACTTAAGAAATTCCTATAACAATAAAGAAACAGCCGATTGATCCGAAGATGAGCAAAAGAACAGGGCAGAGTTAAAGAAACCTTTGACGTAAGCAGTGTGCATAGGACTCTCTAAATAAACGAATCGATTTTGCAACTGAACAGAAAGTAACCAACAATCGAAGAAAGGAAGGTACTAATTTCAAAATTCATCTAAAAGGAAGCTAGGCAACAGAACGTAATGGTGGAAGGAGATTTATTATAAACGTCGAAAATTTTGCTTTCACGTAGAGCTTAAAAGAAAATATGCTTCTAATTAAAATGCGAGATGTGCAAAGCTTGAAACGTGTATAAAACATGCTAGAAGATAAAGGAATGAACCTACACCAAAAGTCACACCGATTAAAATGTCAAAAGTGGGAGGGAGTTGCGTAGGTGCTTGCAAACAACACTCAATTACCACTCGTGCATTGTTTAATTTTGCTGTTATTCAAACGAGAACTAGTCGATCGAATGAAAAAAATTGGAATTAGAACAAGATATGAAATATGTAAAATATGATAGGGAGTCGACGGAACGGAAGATGCGTTCGGAACCGACATGACGCACGACCTATGTACGAGCTGTATTGACTCGAAAGCAACCCTCGAGAAAATTCTACCAAATTTCCCAACTTTTAACCAGATTTTTTGTGAAGAAAATACACGCAACGTGGTAAACTAGTATTAAATTGGTTATAGTAACAGGCAGACAAATGAAAATGTATGATTTTTGCGAGTAAAACGATGAGAAATCACAATAGCGTTTACTTACGGCCGACGGTTGTTGTTTCTGAAGGCTTTCGCAATCAGTCGGTCGTACTCGGGAACTTCCGTACCGTACGTCTTGTCAAGCCAATGTCCGCCATGCGACTAACATGTAGTCCCGCAGGAAAGTAGCTTATTAGTCGGTTTAACTGTTCAATAGAAAAATTTTATTACGGATTTTTCTTACCTTTTATTGCTTTAAACGTATAGAAATATATTAAAATAAATGTACCGTTAGTTTTATTTTTGATCCTAGCGGTAGTAATATATAAGACGGTATTTCAGACATTCGTTTCTATGAATGGATAAAAAATTATTTTATATCGGAGGTTAATATTTTTATTTATTTTTCATAACAAGAAATTTTCTAAAAAAATTAATTTCTTTATATGAAAGATTACAATTTATATCTGTTTATTATAATAAAATAAAACAGTGTTTACCAAGTGGTGTTTTGAATCTAGTAGTACTGACGGTGTTATAGACACAGTAGACTATATTAAATTCCTTTTATATTACAAACTAATTTGAAATTTGCAAGATGTACATTATATTATTAATAATTTATTATCAGAGAATAGATCTATCTTTATTAGTCGATAAGTAAATGGATTATTTACACAGATACCGAGTCCGGACTTAAAAAATATGAAACGCCGATAATGTGGAAATCTGTCTGAATCGCAGTTTCGTATACAAAGGGGCTATTGTCACATAGGCGGTGGATTAGATCATTTAGGCAACTGTCAGTTTCTAAGATTCAGTATATAAAGATAGTTCTCTTGATTTTTAAATGTGAATTAATAAAGCAATTTATATTTAGATATTAAGAACATTTGTGATAAAATAAGTCAGGTTTGTTTTACATATTTGTCACATATTCATTTATGCATTTTTATCTCGTATTAATTTTATTCTTTCGTGTACGTATTTGCCGTATATCATTAAAGATCCGAATGCTATTCAGCTGCATAATGACGAATAGAAATAGAACAGAATTTTAATACATGCTGATTAAAATTTTGATTTACTATATAATATGTGTATCATATAATATTATACTATATTATTCTAACTAATATATCATTTTTATGACAGCATCAAAACATTCATCTGATACATATTTATATTGTATTTCCTAGGGTTCAATAAATTTTACATTTACTAACAATATTACCAGTGACAGAAAATTTAAAAGTTTGAACATTACGTGTTTTGTATAAGTATTGAAAGACACTTGAAATACGTGTAATAGGTACATACATTTAACAGTATTATGGAAAGTAAGATTAAATATATTTAATCTGGGAGAATAGAAATTATATACAATTATAAACAAATAAAAGATGATGTTAATTTAAATACATTGGAATACATAAAAATTCTGTTATAATGTTTACATGTCCTTAAAGTTTTAATAGTGATTCATATATGTGATAATTTATCAGTGTTATTCATGGATGTGTCATATAGGTTTCATGATTTCATTGTGTGTTTATATATATAAACATAAAGTTACACGTAAAAGAATTATTCGCCAAAATTTTAAATGTATTTATTTTTTATTTTTAAATTTTGCAGGTCTCTGAATCTTTTAAAAGTAGAGAAATTTTAATGAAACTTATATTTATTTTTAGAATGGCTCACTGTTCTCAAACATATGGGTCCACGGATCAACGGACAGATGTACCTGATGTAGGATTTAGTCCTACTGAACTTTATAGTCTCAGTGAAAATATTACTACTAACATATATACAATAAATACAAGTTGGAAGACGCTTGAACGTGCATATAAAAATGTTGGAACCAATAAAGATAATCAGGGTCTAAGAGATAAGGTGTAAGTAATTATAATAAATTTGAAATAAAAACCAAATAATTTAGAGTAATTTATGTATTTATTTTGTAAAAAGGCATGTCACACAGTTAAGCACAAATCAAGTAGTAACCCAAACCAGCAAAGACATTGCAAGACTGACAGTGCTAATGAGGCGAGGTGATAAACAACAGAAGTTGCAAATTGAGAAACTTACCACTGATTTCAAAGATGCATTGCAAAGATACTCAGATATGCAGAAGGTAAAATATATTTTATTAATTGTGTCCTAGTTAATTATAATGTTATCATGTACTTATAATTTCTTTGTTATGGAATTTGTAGTCAATTGCTGAAAAAATGAAGAGACATATTTTGCTTACAACTAGTATAGAAAATCCTATGGATCCCGAGGAAGAAGAACAACAACGTTTACTTCAAGCTCAGGAAGATGAACACAAAGTGACACAAAGGTTTGAAATAAACTATATGCTCATTTTGATAGATATACATAACTATACCTGCACATATTCGTAGTGAAAAGAGCTTGATTATTTCCCACAGTCTGCATACAAGCAATTGGATGGGAAATGGCTCACATTATACTAATTTTATTAAAAAAATGAATATTCAAATAGGTCTTTTTCATGATTTTTGTAATATGAGCTTAATTCATAGATTTTATAGTATGAATATTGAAATAGTTTGAATTAAAAATTTCATCGAAAAGATTAAATAATTACAGTGTGTATTATTCATATAGAAAAGTTATAAAATGCATTTGAGTGTATGGTAAGTTTATTTTAATCGATATTCTAATACATAATACAAGTCCTTTAAATTACGTTATTGATCATACATAAAAAAGTAATCTACAAGTACTTCTCTTTCCTGATGTGCTTAGGAATCTTGAGTTCCAACAGGACATACTGTTAGAGAGAGAAGACAGGATAAAACGAATTGAAGGTGATATTTTGGATGTAAACCAAATAATACGCGAACTGGTAGCATTGGTGCATCAGCAAGGAGATTCAATCAGTGAGCTATTCTGTCCAAATTTTATAAAAATATCTCGTTTTTGCATATTTTTATAAATGCTTATTATTGTAGACACGATAGAGAATCAAATAGAAGATGTCCACGTGAATGTTGAACTGGGAGCACAAGAATTAGTTAAGGGAAGTAATTACCTAAGTAAATATCGACGGAAAGTTTTTGTCCTACTGTTACTCGTGATTATAGTTGCCGTTATATTAATTATTATTCTAGTCACTAAATTAAGTTAGCGCTCCTAATCATCGTAGATACTGCGAACAAATGAAAAAGGTTGTCTCAATCTATCTTATTGATCGTAGTACTAATATCGTGGAAAAATATAAATTGCCAGTTTATATATTGGATATGCAATATGGGGAGAGGATAGACTTATTTTATATTCATTTGTAAATTAATTAATATAATTCAAACGTATTATCCTTGTTTACTTTCCAACTTGTAAAACATATTATAATGTTCTTACCGCGTAACTTGCTTTTTATTTTCCATTTTAAGGCAATTTCAATTTAATAACTCAGATTGAAGCAAAGCATAACAAAGATATTAAATATCCGCGTCATTTTTTATAAAAGGCTTTTAATAGTAGCAGAAACAAACTTTTGAATATTGCAAAGTAACTAATTTTTGTTGTATCTACAAGCTATTGTCTAACGAAAACTTTGATAAGTCATTTTGTTATTAATTGTATTATATATTATTTTTTCAATAAATTATACAGCATTATAAATACAACCAGCATCGAAGCAGAATGTTAATGTTATATTATAGCTTCAAATTTTATGGCAATAGATACTGTTTGTTAAACATTTATATTAAAACTATGTACTCTACTGATTGACTATATATAACATTTTGATATATACTTATCATAATTAAACGATTACTTAATGTAAGTAGTAAAATTATTCATTAATTTATTTATTATGATAAATCTTTAAAAATCGTGTTATTTAACGTTTTATTATATTGATATTAGAAGTTCACAAATGAAAGCATAAAGTGATTAAAAAAAGATACAGATTTATCCTAGAATTACGTGAAATAAACAACGTGGCACTACATTGATCAATGTTGGAAGATTTGTATAGATAGCATTTGTTAAATGAACTATATCTTGTTTTAACATTTTTTTATAATTGTGCGCTATAAATATGTAATTACTATTCTATACCCTGGTTTTTATTTAAAAATGTAACTTTATATTGCATATATTTTACCGTTCAGATAAATGATACATACTGATAGATTCTGCTCAACTTTATTAATCAATTGAATGCAATGAGAAGTGATAAGTGGAAATTATGTTTTGTAGAATAGATATTCTTTTACTAGCTTGTCATTTACATGTTATCATTTTGGAACAATAAATTCGTTTCGTATTATTGAATAATTAATTATGTGTTATAAAAGTAATATATAATATGTTGTCTCCATTCTTTATTTTAGAAATATAAATTTGCACAAACTGAAAATGAAATTTTGATTATATAATTATGTCATGAATACTGTTACTTATCACTTTTCATCTTTTCATCTATGTTTAGTTATGTATAAATTAATACGAATATATGTATTTATATGTATGCGCACGCAGCTTTACTTTTACAGATCAGTCACTTTAAACAGCTTTACAATATAAAATATGTAATGTATTGAGAAAAAACAATAATTTACATTTTTCATGTGTTTGAAACATTTTACTATTTTATATACAAACACAGGTACTAAGAAAATATTAAAAGATACTTATCGCAGTTTACGATTTATGTCACATAATATAGGGAATGCCTACTGATGACTTCTTCAAAACTGTTTTCAAGCTTACATTTTTACAAGAGACTATATATCACTATGTAGTTCTTATTAACTACATGATAATTTATGTAAGTGAGAACTTTTAAGGACATATAAAAGATAAAAACATCATATTCTTAATCTAAGCATAATTCAATTGTATAAATTGTGAATATACTATAATTTTTTATAATCATTCTTTAGTAGAATTATAATATTGTTTATTATGAATTATGCGTATTTTTGCTGAAGGTTACAACATTAAAAAAGGAATACAGTACAGATTATCATAAGATTGAGACAGCCATTTTCTATAAATCAATTTGTCTCTTATATGATTATTAGGCATTCCAGAATTTAACAGTTCAGTGATTACATTATCATTAAGATTATAACTTGAATATTGTATATACAACTAACCACTAACATTCAAAATAAATTGCATTATATATGATACTAACATTGTTACGTTGTTGACATATATACAGATGACAACAGTTTTGTTACAATAATGAACTCTATGATGTTTCACTGTATTAATTGTAAATTATGTTTTGTTCTTCTTTTTCTTTGTGAAATGTACCGCATTATTTGTAACATTTTATTAAAAAATACTAGCTTCAGTTGAAATACAGATAGCATGAAAAGAGGGCAACATTTTGCATTAATTTCTTTATCTTTTACATTTTTTTATGAGTTGCTGCAAGTGTCATTGTGATACAAATTATAAAGTTTATGTAAACAAGATTGTGATGAAAAATATAAACAGTTTTGTTAGGCTTCAAGAAGTGAAACAATTATCATTTAATGTTTTCATTATCACAATATTTATAATTTATTGCAACCGAGATGTACAAATTATGTTGTATTATTAATACATGAGATAACATTTGAATATTCCGCACTATCATTTCTTTATCGCGTTTAAACTGTTCAGCCTATTTTATATACAAAATATATATGTTCATTTGTTATATATATTAATAGCTTGCTATCACTAAAGGCTTACAGCATATACCACCGTCTATACTCTAAATTATTTTTATATTTACATGATTTAAAAATTTGTGATGAACAAATTAATTTAAAAAAAATTAATACTTTAATTATAGTATGTACGCATGGGATTCATTTATAGCAGTAATTTATATAATTCGTATAGTATCTAATGTACATTTATAGCACGTAGTTTACAAAAAATACTTAAACTAGAAATACTATACAAGAATAAAACAAATGCATAACAGAAACGTAAGTTTTATGGTTCATTAGTATCCCGAATGAAATGCTAAGGTATTAATATTAAATCAATAAGTATTGCTGATAATTTATATTTGAATAACCGATAGAAAAAAGTTAAAAATAAATCATGAAAAACTCAGTCTTAGTTCGCTTACGGGTCTTTTTTCATAAATGATGTCATTTAAACATACGTGGATATGTTTATTACTACAAGTGACGATAGCGAAAGTAAAATGATAATGACGATGCTAATATAAATATCGTGCATGATGTTTAACGTATCTCTAAGCTTTTATCTTATTTTGTTGCTGAGATCGTCTAGCTTTTATTCTTGCTTGTAAAGTGAGAAGAAGGCCTGCGAGAACATCGTGATTAGGCAATTTCTTAGCGAACAATAAACGTTTAACTGAGTCATCGTAAGTTAATAAAGCGACCATATTTTGTAGTAAAAAACCTTGACAATATTCTAAAAGTTGTGTGGCGTTGTAAACCTGGAAATTGTTAAACGACAAATCATTTATTTCATATTTCCTTTTTAACAAAAAGTTTGTGGTATATAATATTATATCTAATAAAATCTAAACAAGATACCTTTGCGTGAATATACATAGAAACGATATTGTCGAGATCAACCATAGAAGAACATTGTGCCTCGCAATACCTAAGTAATCCATCCAATTGGAAAAAGTTTGCGGCTGCCATTAACTCCAGAACATCACTTTGATTAACTTCTAATGTAGCACAACCACCATGGTATAGAAATTCCATAACCATCTGAATATTAAAATATGGTTTAAATCTTAAGTAAAAAGCTAAGGCTTTTTAGCTCTTTTGGAGTATTATATACCTGGAAAATGTGGTATCGAATATCGTTAATTTGTACAATAGGAGGATTTCCCTCGCACAGTTTCGAACTTAACATATTCCTAAATCTCGGTGACGATGTGACCAAAACGATTTTATGGCCATAGAAGACTCTGCCCTCCACTCTGAATTGTACATCGCTTAATTCTGGATTATTTACAAACTTGGGATCTATTCTGGATCCACTAGAAAGTGTTGTATCTCGAATAGGTTTTATTGGTTCCCATCCAAAGCACGTACAGAAAATATCCGCGAGGAGAAGCGTCGTTCCTTCTTTCTATAGAAAAAATACAAGCCGAAAGATATAAGAAATATCCTTATTCAACTCAACTTTAATCAAATTGAAATATGCCTTACTTTACTATATCTAAAAATGTTAAACAACAATGGGAGACATTCTTGTACGAATTGTGTCGAATAGTCATCTGGGCAAACTTGAAGAAAATCTTGAAGTAATTGATCTATTACCGAATCTAATCTTATTTCGTGAGCTGTTGCAAGACTATGCATCCAGCAATGTAACGTCCAACCTACTTTTAATCCGCGAAGTTCCATCGTGATATCTGTGTAAAAATTCACATGTTTATACAAAAAATATATAAGTATACTTTTTTAAGATGATTTTTTCCAAATTTGTTTTACCTAAGTGGTTGCTTTCAGCACTATGGTACATTGCTTCTTGTAAAGCTTTAGTTTGAACTTTATTAAAGACTGGCTCTTTGCCTTCTCTTCTATTTCCTCTTCCATCTACAGTTTGTTGTTGAGGACTAGTACCGGCACTACCTTCTGCCAAAATTTCTTCCAATGACAATACTTCTTTCTCTCCTCGTTTGGCAGAGAAGTTTAATGGGTGAGACAACAGTTGATGAAGACAACTCCTTTGACCATGAGCTGTTGCTACTGATATTGCACTGTAAGATAAGAATACAAAGCAATTATAATTTACTACTTTTTTGGACAATAATAAACTATATTAGATCTGTCATCAGGAAAATTAAAATAAATATTTTACTTGCCTATAACAGCCCCGCTGAGCAGAACCAGAGTATGAAAATGAATCTTTTATCAAAGTAGATAAAAACGGCTGAGCTCCATGAGCCAACAGAAGTGCAACCATTTCATAATTGCCAGATGCCGTAGCCGCTTGCAATGGTGTAACCGTAGATTTATCTTCGCTCAATTTAGCCCCACCTTCAACAGCTGCACCCCTCTCCAATAATATTCTAGCAATATTACAATGTCCTAACAACGCCGTGTAGGTTAAAGCAGTCCAATGTTGCGTTTCTGCATTGAATCCAGATTGATTACAGAATGTACTATTAGAAACGTTACTAGAGGCGCTAGGTGAACTGGAAGACGAATTTGAAGACTGCACATTCTTTCCTGGAGTCATTACAGCAGATGACGTCATTGGACTTCTAGCATTTGATACATTTAGAGCTGCTGGAGCCTTGGAAGGTGTGTTCGCTGATTGTCCAGTGGATGGAGGTGGACTTTCGATGTTTAAATCAGCGCCAGCGTCTAACAAAGCTAGAACAGCGGTTTCATCACTGTTTATACACGCTATCATTAAAGCAGTGAAGCCATTATCATTCACAGTGTTGATCTTTGTTGACGGTAAAAGAGGCATGGCTTGAGCTATTAAATCTGCACGACCGCTTGTTAGCATCTTGAAGGCCATATCCATAGTTAGGAGCCGGACGTATTCAGAATCGTCAATGCGCTTCGAGCAGACTGAAACTTCCTCGAAGCTGTGAACGAAGTTTATTACAAAACCTTATTAAAGAGTTAACGTTACATTTTGGGACCTTGCCTTATAGGGTATCCAAGGTACTTTTATCACTCTGTAAATTCTAATATGTATTACCATATCGGTCTAACAGGACAATCTACTCCGGGCAATAGCAATCTGGCAGCTTGATTAATGTCATCTTGATCCACAACTAGACCGTGCCTGTGTTCTGCATGAGCGGTCGCAACTCTTAGCCATTCAACTAGTGGCGGAAGTACGACGTACGCTCGTTCGTATGCGAGTTCTTGTATCCCGGAACCTCGTTCACCGTGTTCCAACTGTATAAATATTGTTTCATTACATTACGTTCAGACAATAGAAAAGGGGAACAAAGATTAGGATCAAATGGACAAACCTGCGAACACCTCATGTAATAAAAGAGAGCATTCAATGCCTTGGTTGTTAAAGGTATAGGTGAACGTCCTGCTTGAGCTACTTTTGATATTAAATCTACCAGTTCTGACATTGATCCTACGCAGGTGGTTAAAAGCGACGGTTCTAACGCTGATCCCGCTGCATCTCTTCCGCTGCGAGATGATGAGGAGGAATTTAGAGAACTGATACTGGCCCAACGTGGCATGGCAAGTGCACCTACGAACATTATGAGATTCTCCTAAGATTATGGAATATGGGAGTATTCTCCTAAGATAAGAAAATGGATTAAATGATCGATTTATTTCATTTATAATACATCTTAATAAGTTAAAAAGCTAATAATCTATATAAGAAAATTCAAAGCTTACTAGGAATATTTATTGTCTGATGAATTTTTTAATAAGTTCTGGAATATATCGGTTAACAGTAAAAAAAAGAAAAGAATTACATTAGTAATCGTAATTAACTATAGTAATTAAGTAGTAGATGGGGTCATAATATGGTTAAAGCGGGAAATAATGAATTTTAAAATAATATTAATTAGCACGTTGGGAAATACAAGAATACTTTTCGCGTAAATAATTATGGCCTATCTAGCTTAGTTCCTAACAAAATAATTTTACCTGATGCTGTTCGACCAGCATTTAGATGCGCGTACGGTTGCAGAAGACCCCATAAATCTCCACTGTTTGCAATAGCATGTTCCAACATGGTTGCAGTCAATGTTGTATGGGGATCAGTCGGTATACATTGTAGTAGTATTTCTTCCAACAGATTTTCGATTCCAGCGGTCAAATATATGGCTGCATACTCGTGTATCATTCTTCCTAGTCGTACATCAGACATCCAACGAAGAAATCTTCCCACTGGTAGTTGTAGCCCGGATCGAGATGCTTTCGATTGCTTTAATTGATCGCCAGATACGGCGAACATCGCTGCAGCACGCAAGCAGGCCTATAAAAAGAGAATAAGTAGATGAATGTCTGTACTAACGTAATAATAATTTGCCTGAAATCTGTCTGTTATTCAAGGTCGCCAAAATATAATACCCGTCTATTACTGGGACAAGAAGTTATCTAGTTTTATGGTCGTACTTTCTCGATTGATTATCTAAATATTATTCAAATATTGCTGTTTACATATAATACATTCAATATAAACAAACTTAGCTATTAGAATAAGT